TTTTTAAAGCCCATTGTTGGATTATCCTTTGGAGAATTAGTTTGTTCAGTGCCTGCCTAACAGATTTTGTTTAATTAAAAGGAAACCACAACTTAAAAATTTATTATTTCCTTAGAGAGTTCCTCATTCTGTGACATTTGCACCAAAATAATCTCAGGAACACACTGCAATCTCATCCTGACGCATGAGATTGTGTATTTTCCCGGAGAGAGGGCAAACACTGACAAAGCAACAGGCTGTAAATTCTTCTAAGCAACAAGTTCATAAATAGCTAACAGACATCACCGTGGCTGAGGAGACTACGTATCTTAATCGAATGCAGGTTCCTAATGATCCATTCCATGGCTTTCTTCCTGCCTCTGGGATGACCAACTGTCCCAGTATGCCAGGCACTGAGGAGGGCTTCCCAGGACATGGGACTTTCAGTTTTAAAAATGGGAAAATTCCAGGCAAACCAGAACAAGTTGGTCACCCAGCTCAGAGGCCTCCCTGCAAAATCCACCCACCTCCCACAGTATACCACCCAAGCAGAAGACAAACAACACCTTGAACAGGGGTCTCCTGCATTGCAGGCAGATTCTTTACCCGCTGAGCTATGAGGGAACCCCACAAACAACACCCCAGCCATTTGTATATATATATCTCTTCTATGGTCCTCACCACCCAGGTGACTATTTGCGGGTCTGGTCTCTGTGGCAGGCACACAGCTGCCCAGCAAGTGGATGGCTAAATGGATAGACAGAGAGACTGACAGACTGACTGATAGACAGTCCTGCCCTACAGAGAGTGGGCTGTGAGCTTTGGCATATAAAGGGAACTCCACTTATCTTGATGATGGGGGCAGAGCTGAGTAGAGGAGGTGACAGACCATGGGCTGATTTTAGGCACATATTTTTCTTCAAGACATTTTTTCAGCACCAGTTCATTTCCTTCTGTCCCCCTGGGTCTCCAACAGAATTCCCAAAGGCCAAGCTAAGTGATTAAAACACAGACACCACTTTCCTCCAAAGATGCAAATCCAAAGGTCTTGGATCTTTCTCTGACTGTGGCCAGGCCTTAAAATATAAAAATGAACTTAATAAAACTTGTATTTAAAAGAAACAGTACAAAATGTGCACAGGCAAAAGGCTGTGGAAGGGCATGATATGTTCTTGGAAGAGATATTTGGGCTTGGCTGACGCAAAGGATGATGACAAGATTTAAGGCAATGGAGATATATGGGCACCAAAAGCAAAATGCTCTATACTCCCAAACATTGCCAGTGAGACCACAGATCAGAGTACTTTCTCTGGTGGACCATTAAGCAACAATCACTAGTCTTCAAAGTAAATATTGCCCTCGACACAGCAATTTCCTATCTAGAACTAGTACTTGGAGAAGTACATCCAGATGCCTATTTGAGGACATTCATTGCATAATTGTTCGGAAACCAAAATGAAAACAATAAACAGGAACTGCCCTAAATGTCCATCAATAATAAATTGACTGGTCAATCCATTAAAGGGTATACTATATAGACACTGCAAAGAAGAAAATAATTCTATACAATCCAATATGGGATTATCTGCAAGACAAATCAAGTGAAAAAACCAAGGTGTAGAAGAATTTCTATAGTGTGATCTCAACTGGGCTGGAAGAAACTTTGGTTGTGGTGTGTATATACACAGGCCTCCCCAGTGGCCCAGACAGTAAAGAGACTGGCCTGCAGCGCAGGAGGCCTAGGTTTGGTCCCTGGGTCAGGAAGAACCTGGAGATGGAAATGGCTACCCACTCCAGTATCCTTGCCTGGAGAATTCCATGGACAGAGAAAGCTGGCAGGCTACAGTCCATGGGATCACAGAGAGTCAGACACAACTGAGTGACTAATATGTGACTATACATGTTGCACATGTATTTTCTATGTTTACACAAATACATGTTTTTTACATGCTTATAATATGTCTCAAAAGATACAGAAGAAAGGGTATTTTTCACTTTATAACTTGCATTTTTTTTTAAACTATGATCATGTTGTTACTTTTATAATAAACAACAACAATGGCAAAAAAAAAAAAAACCTACTTCAAATGACTTCCCTGGTGGTCCAGTAGTTAAAACTGCACTTCCTCTGCAGGGGGCCTAAATTCTGTCAATCCTTGGTCTGGGAACTAAGATCCCACATGCTGCAAGGTTCAGCCAAAAAAAAATCCCAAAGCTTTTTGTCCCATATCCACTACCATGACTAGCCTAAAGATCAAATGGTCCCAATGCAGGAGTTTTAAGTTAAAGAATGACTAAATAATAAATACCTATACTGTGCTAAATAAATTTAAAGTAGCTACAATGGCATTTGCATCTTCAAGAGCAGTATCTTACTAGGGTCAAATGGACCATCCATGTTCTAACTCCAGATCTACCATTTTCTTGACCTTACCAAGTTTCAAAATCTATCTAGGCCTCAGTTTTCTCCTGTATCAAATGGATGTAATAAACAGCACCCACTGCTGAGGGTGACTGTAAAAGACCCTGGGGAGCTTCAACAGAGCAAACAACTAGTGGCAGCCAGGAGTGACCGCAGTTGTAGTAGTGACAGCCAACCACCAAGATCCATTAAGAAGGTTCTAAATCCCCCTTCTGAGTCTTCTCCTGATTTTACATCTTTAATTTTTTTCTCAATCAGTAATGATTATTATTTTCTTGTAAAATAATTAGGCCTGCTGCCTTACTCTGGGAATTTAATGAGATGAAGGAAATGGCAACCCACTCCAGTACTCTTGCCTGGAAAATCCCATGGATGGAGGAGTCTGGTAGGCTACAGCCCATGGGGTCCAGAAGAGTCAAACATGACTGAGCGACTTCACTTTCACTTTATCACCAAGCAGCTCACCATCTTCCCTGAAACAGGAGTAAGATAAGCATGGGTTTGTTCTGTGACAAGGATCAAGAAGCTAACTAAGACATGGGAAGGAGAGGAGAAAACGCTTTTTGCTAAATTCTTTGGATCTACACTCTACAAAGTCTGATGACCGACTTCTTCTCTGAGACCCAGTCTCCGCACTTTGCTAAAGCAAATTCTGTGGTTTACAAGTATGCCAAAGAATGAGGTTTGTCAGGGGGACCAACAGAGCTAATCAGCCACAGATGCTGCAGCTGAAGATCAACAGCTCATTTCTAAAAAAGACTTTAGCACTCACTGCATAACATCTCCAACAGGACCAGGTTAAAAGTAAAGATGAAAATAAGCTCTCCTCCTCATCCAGCACCCTGGGGGAGACTCAAAGCGGCTATACACTAACTTTTTTGATCGAATAACTATACCTGACTCTACCGGCCTCAGATACCGCAGATAATTACCTTGCTGGGTATGTGAGAATCTGTCCCCAAGCTGCTATTTCTTCTCTAACTCTGGTGAAATCCTTAGTGGTACTCTCCACTTACAAATGGAAAAACTGACTTACTGCCTTTGAAAGCACCCGACTGCACACTCTGAAACAGGCTGTACAATAGGTGGAGGGTGCCACCTCTGATGACTGCATGTGTCACAGCAGAGGACCAGGTTTCCTTGCAGAATTAACCCAGTCATTTAAAAAAAAAAAGGAATGTTTGCTGGGAGGGCAGCCCAGGAATTCAGGACTGAAGGGAGGGAGAGTACAGGCCCTGGATCATGGTCCCAGCTCTGCCAGAAATGACCACAGGGCCGCTCCCCTCTCCAGAGTCAGTTTCCTCAACAGTGAATAGAAGGATGGGGACAAGCTCATGGAGATCCCTCCAGGCAATAAGCAATGACTCAAGCCCAGGACATTCTCTCCAGCAAATCAAAGGAGAAAATCCTAAAGAAGAAAGTCAAAATTCACAGTGACTCACATAGCAGGAGTTGCTGTTTTCCATATTACAGCAGTGAAAAGATAAGCTGCAGAAATGACCACACAAAGTTTTACATCTGGAACCACATTTGGACTTAGCAAAAAGAATAAATAGACATTTCCTTCCCAACTGCAGGCTTGGGCTTCCCAGGTGGCACAGTGGTAAAGAATCCGTCTGCCAGTGTAGGAGACGCAAGAGACACAGTTTCAATCCCTAAGTCAGGGAAATGACAACCCACTCCAGTGTTCTTGCCGGGAAAATTCCATGGACAGAGGAGCCTGGCGGGCTACAGTCCATGGGATCACAGAAAGTTGGATACAACTGAGCACACACACACACACACACACACACACAACTGCAAGTTTTCCCTACCACGAAAAACTAAAAGCACACAAGATTCTGCAATGGGACAGTTTCCTCTTGACCACAGCTACAGACCCAGGGAAGTCCAGAAAGCATACACACACACACACACACACACACATCACTCCCAAATTTCCCTTTCACTTCTTTGGCTTAATTACTGCACAGAGCACAGGCCTAGGGAAATTGATCTAGGGGCTAGTGTGAGGCTCGGTACTAAAGGCAAGAACTTGGTAGTAATTAACTTGATTCTGGCCCCAGGTAACTCGACCCATTATTGATGTTACGTGGAGCGGGGGCGGGCAGCGCCAACCTTCGGAGTGGGCCCGGCCCCACAGACCTGCCTGGAGGTCACCCCTTTTCCCCGACTCCTAGAGCAGGTACTCGGGCAAAAACCGCACAATGCGACCCAAGTGCGTCACACCACAGAGATCCTAAGGGAGGAAGGGAGTAGTCCCCCGGTTTCACCGCTCCCAACTGACCCAAACTGGAAGAATGGGCTGACACGGGGCACCAGCTCCGGGACGGGTGGGGACCACACAGGACAATAGAGCCATCAGAAAGAAGGGGCCAGAGGAGGAGGATGGCCCAGATGTCGGGGACAGAGACTTCAGAGGACAGATGGAGAACTGGAAGGCGCGCAGGGGAGGGGGCGTGGGTCGACTCTGGCCGCGGAGCGAAAACGCCCCAGATACACACGTCGACCAGGGTGCGGGCTCCAGGTGCGGCGGCTGCGCTGGGGGACAGCCCCCTCCCGCCAGCCCGGCTGCCATCCCCGCTCCCGTGCCCCGCACCGTGTTGTAGAACTCGGCGATGGCAGGCACGATGGTGTAGTTGTCCTCGCACCAGTCCACCTCCGAGCTGCCAGCCCGCAGCTGGTCCCACCAGTGCGGGGCGCTCATGGCCGCTCTGGGGCATTGGAGCAGAGGCTCCCGCAGCCGAGAGGAGGCCAGAGCTGCTGCTGGAAACCAACGGTGGTGGTGGTGCAGCGGCGGCCGCGGCTTTAAGCACCACGGGACAGCCCCCGGATGTGGCGCCTCCTGGGCCGGCCTCTCGGGGATCCGCTCTGTCCTGTAGGACGTGACTGGCTCGCGGACCCCCTCCCTAGGCTCCGCCCTCTGGGGGAGCCTGCGGGACCCAGGGCCGGCCACGCCCACCCCAGAGGCGGGATGTGCGGGGGAGGGGGGCAGGCGGGGAGACGGGACCCGCCCCCTGCACCCGCCTCTAAATACTCCTGTTCCCAGCAGGTGGCAAAGGCTTTGACAAGCCTGCCCCCGCCCACCTTCCGGCTCAGACTTGCAGGCGCCCCCTACCCTTGTTAAGCGAGTTGTGACAGAACTCGCCCTGGCAAAACTTAAAATTACGGAGGAAACCCGGGGGGACCGGACCCCTACGGAATTTTGGCGAAGTTTGCTCAGTCTTGCCTGTATGATACGTGGGACACCCACTCTCACGGAAAAGTCATTGCTTGGTGCGGTGGGCTGGGTCAAGAAGACCTTGGGGACTGGAGTGGGGGACCAAGGACTCTCCTACGCAGCCTCTGCCACCCAAACCCTGGTGGAGTGCTGCTGCAATTTTGAATACTTTCTGCGCTCCGCCCCTTGGAGTCCAATGCTAGAATAAAGTTTTCTATTACCCATCGAGTCAAACGTCAGCTATCCGAACCCCCAAAGGATGCAGTGTGACAGGTATGGCACGTCCAGAACACCCCAGATACGAGAGATGATGATGCATATATTGCACTTACTATGTACCAGGCTGGAGAAGGAAATGGCAGCCCACTCCAGTATTCTTGCCTAGAGAATCCCATGGACGGAATAGCCTGGTGGGCTGCTGTCCATAGGGTCGCACAGAGTCGGACACGACTGAAGTGACTTAGCAGCAGCAGCAGCATGTATCAGGCACTTGTTGAAGAGTTTCCATGTGTCACTTAGCGCTCCCAGAGGGGATCCTAGGAAGTGGGTGCTATCGGCAATGCCATTCTAGCTAGTAAGTGGCCAAGCTAGAAATCAAATTCAGGATGATCTCAACTGTGAGATAACTATTTTGCTTTCGTTGCTGTAACTGTTCTACATGAGGTAAGAGCTAGGTGGGTCCCAGGGTGAACAGCTGGTTCGTCCCCTGTGGACAGATACCCCAAAATAGCCGGAGTGAGAGAGGAGATGAGCCCTACCCAGATAAAAGATTACATACCCCTCGTTTGCAAAGTCAAGAGGACCTTTCTGACTATACCTGCTCAGAAAGTTTCCCTGGAGGTACATAGGGAGAGGTGTTGATACCCTATCACCCCATAGTGAGTGATGTTGATACCCATGGTCTTCTTTGCTAGAATCCATCTTGGTCAAGAGATATGTGCACACACATAGGAGAACCCTGAGATACACCAAATACAGATGCTGAACCTGGCAAAGCAAGATGATTGGCTAAAGGAAACCCAGAAGAAATGCCCCATAAAAGTGATTCAAGCTACTGCGAGGATGCGACTCTCTCTCTCACTCTCTCTCTGAACCTGCCTGTGTGCCTATCTGTGTATCCTTTTCCTCCTAATAAGACACTTTACTTGTTTCACTTCTTTCTGTGTCTATGTGGAAATTCATTTCTATACAGCTGATGGGCCAGGGCCTTGTCACTGACCACTGGTCCCTGGTGGTCTAGTGGCGTGGCTAGGATTCAGCACTCTCACTGTCGAGGCCTGACTTCAATCTCTGGCCAGAAGCAGAAATCCTGCTTCAAGCCTCTGCAGGCCCAGGTCACCTGAGATCATGTAGTTTCTATATCAAAGCTAATCTAGTCCCACTGATTCCTGGATAAAGAAAAAGCCAATTGTTTCAGTTGGTCACGGCTCTCATCCTTCTTCCTTGGGCAGCTCTAGAAATTCAGCTTAAGATAGCAGTGGCAGAAGAGACCCTGGTCAGGTGACTGTCACTAGGATCTCCATGTTCCAGCCTACGTGGTACCCTGGAGGCCAGCACCTCCCCAGGGCCTTACCTCTCTCTGACTTGACTCTCCACTTGGCCCCTGGCTAGTGCTCCAGGGTCTTATGCTCCCAGTGTCCGTCTTCCACAGGTTCCTGCAGAGCCATTTGTTTATCTTTCCAGACCTCCATCACTGATAGAAACTGCAACCCCCGACTCCTCTCCTATACTCAAGGAAACCCAGCTTTCACCCCTGGGAGCCAGACCACACTTCTCTTTTCAACTTTGTCCCAACTCCTATCCTGTCCTCTTCCTAGACAGCTAGTTCCACTGTGTCCTGAAAAATAAAACTACCATATAACCCAATAATCCCATTCCTGGGCATATATCCCAAGAAAACTATAAAAGGTACCCTAATGTCCATATCAGCAAGACATGGAAGCAAACTAAATGTCCATTGACAGATGAATGACTAAAGAAGGTGTGGGGTATATATACATAAACAATGGAATATTAATCAGCCATAAAAAGAATTAAATACTCCTATTTGTAGCAACATGGACAGACCTAGAGATTATCATAGTAAGGGAAGTAACCAAATAGGGAAAAACAAATGTCATATGACATCAGTTACATGTGGAATCTAAGAAAAATGATACAAGTAAATTTATTTACAAAACAGAAATAGACTTACAGACACAGAAAATAAACCTATGTTTACCAAACAGGGAAGTGGAGAGGGATAAATTAGGAGTTTGAGATTAACATATACACACTACTATATACAAAAGAAATAACCAACAAAGACCTACTGTATAGCACAGGGAACTAAACTCAATATTTTATAATAATCTATAAGGAAAAAGAATCTGAAAAAGAATATATATATATATATATATATATATATATACACATATATATCTGAATAACTTTGCTATACACCTGAAACTAAACAACATTTTAAATCAACTATACTTCAATAAAAAAATAAGACTTTGTAAATTTCTAATATGGTAAACATTGGTAGATATTATTACATAAACAAAAATTCCTTACATTCCTTAATTTTTTAGTATTACAGGAGTCCTCAGATCAGAAAGGTTAAGAGCTGCTATTTAAAAGAAAGATATCCCCAATTAACTCATTTGTAAAAGATTTTTTATCATTTAGTTTGAAATATTTATTGAATGAGAGCTTTTAGACTTATACATATATCATTATACATCATTCTTGAGCATACAATAAAAAGAAAAATAAAAGCAAAAGAAATTCATTAAGCAATTCCTGTGGTTTCTTCACACACAGAATGTCTATTCCTCTGAATCATTTTTTGACTCAAAACTGCCAGTGTCCTTAATTACCAAGTCCAGGTGATGCAGCAATTTTAAGAGTACTTCACACTATTGTTTGCTTTCCAGCCATGAATATCTCGTGTACTCCTTTGGATGCTGGCGTATTCTTTTTTTTTTTTTTTTCATATTCTTGATCTTACCTGAAGGTGTCAATAGAAGGTTTTCAGACAACAGGAAGCATGTTTCTTTTCCAGATGGTCCTTGTATCATTTGTTGACGGAAACATGGAGATTACAGTCACCAAGTCATCCTACCAGGAAAAACCACTGAGTTTGTGTGTGTTCAGGCAGTGACAAACCATCTCTTCTGTCACCTGGCCAACCATGATTATAAAATGCCATTCATTGTAAGATGTACCTAAAATTCAGCAATATTACAATGCAAAACAAAGTTTTAGTATTAGTGAAATTTGGAATTCGCTGGATAGTATTCATTCTTCTCTCCAAGTCCTGCTAAGAGAATGATGGGGAATTTTCTTCCTACACAGGAAGTCTTATTGCGGATGACAGTTCTGTTTCAAAATCAAAGCTGACCCCTTGGGTTCATCTAGTTACAACTGCACAGAGAGACGGTGCTCAGCCAAAAGCCATTGGTGACCAGCATGAAGGATGCAAGTTACAGTACTCCAAATATGCCTGTGTTGGCCTTCTTGGAAGTGTTTTAACATTTTTCTGATGTTTTCATCCACTCTCTCCATTGCTAACATTTTTTCAGTGGATATAACCTTAGTCACTTAATACCACGACCTATCATTCGGTTCAGTTCAGTTCAGTCGCTCAGTAGTGTCCGACTCTTTGCGACCCCATGAATCACAGCACGCCAGGCCTCCCTGTCCATCACCAACTCCTGGAGTCTACCCAAACTCATGCCCATCGAGTCGGTGATGCCATCCAACCATCTCATTCTCTGTCGTCCCCTTCTCCTCCTGCCCCCAATCCCTTCCAGCATCAGGGTCTTTTCCAATGAGTCAACTCTTCACATGAGGTGGCCAAAGTACTGGAGTTTCAGCTTCAGCATCAGTCCTTCCAATGAACACCCAGGGCTGATCTCCTTTAGGATGGGCTGGTTGGATCTCCTTGCAGTCCAAGGGACTCTCAAGAGTCTTCAACACCACAGTTCGAAAGCATCAATTTTTCGGCACTCAGCTTTCTTCACAGCCCAACTCTCACATCCATACATGACCACTCGAAAAACCATAGCCTTGACTAGACAGACCTTTGTTGGCAAAGTAACGTCTCTGCTTTTTAATATGTTATCTAAGTTGGTCATAACTTTCCTTCCAAGGAGCAAGCGTCTTTTAATTTCATGGCTGCAATCACCATATGCAGTGATTTTGGAGCCCCCAAAAATAAAGTCTGACACTGTTTCCACTGTCTCCCCATCTATTACCCATGAGGTAATGGGACCAGATGCCATGATCTTAGTTTTCTGAATGTTAAGCTTTAAGCCAACTTTTTCACTTTCCTCTTTCACTTTCATCAAGAGGCTTTTTAGTTCCTCTTCACTTTCTGCCGTAAGGGTCATTAGGTAATTAATTTTGAAGCAGACCTATTAATAGAATGTTGCCTTAGAAACTTCCATTAATAGTTTAACACAAATCTGATATCTGGAGAAAAAAGGAGCTTGGGGAGAGTGGGAGTAAGGTGGGGACTGCAGGGTGTGACAGCAGAGAACAGGGCCCGACTGAGTTCTGATGCTAAGTTTGCTTCTGGTGCTTTTGGTTTAAGTAAGAGTCAGTGATAGAGATCTAGGAGAGAGCAGGTTTTGGAGAACCACCCTTGCAGGGAAATCAGGATGCCAGCATCTATTTTTACAGAATTTATAACTATTTATTTTTGGTCTAAGTAAATATCTGATGATAAATATCCAGTTCAGCTGGTCCCACAAGTGGAAATAAATCATCAAGTAACAAAGTCTGCCTTGGGGGAAAAAAAGGGGGGCAAATGCTTATGTAAATGAAGCAAGAAGTGCATGATCAAAGATGAAATTTTCTGCCTTTTGCTGTTTGTCCAGAGTTTTTCATCATTGGTCATGCTTGAGGCTTGTCGTTTAGACCAGTGATTCTCAAGGTATGGGGCCAGCAGCATCAGCACCACCTAGGAATTTGTTAGAAATGCAAATTTCTAGGTCCATAGCCCAGACCTATTGAATCAGAAACTCTGAGGATGGACTCCAACAACCTCCAGCTTAACAAACTCTCCAGGTGATTTTGACCCACACTCAAGTTTGAGAATCACTGTTTTAGCTAATACACTAGTGGTAGCAGTAAAAAAAATTCACTCTGGACTATATACTTAGCTTCCCTGAAAAAAAGAAAAAGGAAAAACAAATCCAAGCCAAGACTGCAGCTGCTGCTGCTACCAAGGAAAAGAGGAAGAAAAAAAAGAACCCAGTGAAGGAAGTCGTTCTTTCATCAGGCTCATCAGCAGGAAACTAGGGCTCAGAGTCTGGTCCCTTCTCCAGCCAGGAGAGAAACAAAAAAAGTCACTAAGCTTTTGTTCTTCTTTTTCATCTGAGACAGTGTCCAGGCTCAGAAGGCCATGGAGGAGGGCTGCAGAAAGCAAGACCTCACCAGGGAAACACTGGGGCAACCACTCCAAGAAAGTGGCTACCTTTGCTGCCGTGTGTGCTCTTGGATTATTTCCTGACAGTCATCAGAGGGCACTTCCTGCAGTTGTCACTGGGCCTCTCTTCTCTAATCTGCCCTGGAAAAAACACAAACAATGTTAGGGCTGGGTGTATAATAAAATTAAATTGATTCTAATTGAAAACCTGAGGCTTTGCCCATGCCTGAAGTGCATGGACGTTGTTAACATGTGTTTTGACCACTGCTTTCCGGAGAGAGAAGCTGTTCCTTTGTTAAATAACTATAGCTTGCAACAGGATAGCAGCAATTTTGAGCACCTGTTTCATGCCAGGCTCTATAGTAAGTGTTCGGTAATACAAGACAAAAATAACACTCTTGGCTTCATCGAGCTTAGTCTAGTAGAAGCACACAAACCATTAGAATACAACAGGACAGTTGCTATAGCGGAGGTGCAGACACAGAATGTGGATGCAGAGGGGCCCAAGTCTACACTGAGACCAAAGGGGCACAAAGAGCAGAGGAGGCAGCCTCCACACTAAGATGTACAAGGTGTACAGTATTTTACCAGGCAGAGCACTGAGGAGGGGGAATTCTTTAGAAGAACTAATATGTGCAAAAGGATGAGGGTCCAAGACAGCATAATAATTCAGGAAACTTCAATATAGTTCCAGCAGGAAAAGTCACAGGAGACTGAATTAAAAGACTGGTAGATGATGTGAAAAGAGTAGGTCTTTAGGAAGGAAACCTTGACAGATGAATAATAAAATAGACATCAGAAACTATTGATAATGTCTGCCAATAGTCCAAGTGCAGGATGATACGGGCAGGACTAAGAAATGCATTCATTCTTTTGCATCATTTACAGAATTATTGAATATGCTATGTGCTACGCTAGACAGTTTTCCAGAGGCCAAGGATCAAATGGTGAGCAAAGCAGATGTTGTGTCTGCCTTCATGGAGCTTGCAGTCTAGGAGGAAAGCCAGAGATTAAATATTGCATAAATAATTCATTACAGTTGTGCTGCATGCTATGAGAGAGTATAAGTCCCATGACTGCAAAGAGCAGGTAATGTGATATTGTCTGAGAGTACCAGGGAAAAGGCTTCCCTGAGGAAGTGAATTCTAAGCTGCAAGAAGTGAAGGTTGAGGCAGGGGTAAAACGAATTGAAATAAGGAATGCAGCAGAGATAGAAAATAGGAGTTGTGCTAGGTTGCACTATTGACTGCAGATTCTCAACACAATTTCCCAACCCACGGATATGGGACTTGAGTTTGTCAATGGCTGTGGCAAATGAAATGTACATGGAATTGATTTGTCCATGACTGAGCAGAGCATTTGAAAGTGATTTCTAATTCTGCCATTCCTCATTTCCCTTTTCCAAACCCTGTTTTGGGACGGTGTCTTCAGCCTGGATCCCAGAATGAAGAAGACAAATAGAGAGCACAGAATGGGAGTCGGTCCACAATCCACTCATAACTTGAGCAAAAAATATAACTTCGTGCTCTCAACCATGGAAACTGGGGCGAATTGTTTCTTACCCCAGCATAGCCTAATGGTGGCTGACAAATACAGAAGGAGAATAAAGCTTAACTGCTGATTAGAGGTACAGCATAAAAGAGTGGGGGAAAAAATGGAAGAGAACTTCAAACAATGTAGTCTGAGCAATTAGAAGAAAGCGACTAGGTTACTAACTTGAAAGGGAAGATAAGATGGAAAATAGTGATTTAAGGTTTGTATTGAATTAAAGGGCAGGCTGAATATTTGGGAAGACACGTTCTTTCAGTAACCAGAAAGGTAAATTAGAAGACCAAGGACAGGTCAGGATCAAAAAGATTTGTGGATCGTGACTTCAAAGGTGACACCTGATCCATGGGGTAAATGAGCTCACTGTGGTAAGTGAGCTCACTGGGTCTCAGGAGAGAAAGAGAATGGAGGCAGGCAGAGGGCAGATCCATGGGCATGGCTGCATTTTTCAGAGGCCTGAGTGACAAGGAGGCTCAAGTCCTGACAGACCAGAAGCAGGTATGTTGGGTTGAAAAAAATCAAGGATGCAACATCACCTATAAAGCAGCCTCGTCCCCCACCCCCCAAAACAGTGAACCTAAACCAGATCAAAACTATAGCTCTCACTACCCATTTACAGGAGGTGAATCACCTGGAGATCTTGTTAAAAGTGTTAAAAATGCAAATTCTGATTCTATAGTTCTTGTGTGTGTGTGTGCTGTCGTTTCTGACTCTGTGTGGCCCCTGGACTATAGCCCGCCTGGCTCCTCTGCCCATGGAATTTTCCAAGAAAGAATACTGGAGTGAGTTGCCATTTCCTACTCCAGGGACTCTTCCTGACCCAGAAAGAGAACCTGGGTCTCTTGAGTCTCCTGCATTGGCAAGCGGATTTTTTATCACAAGCGCCACCTGGGAAACCCAGGTGGGGTTGAGTGGGGTCCAAGATTCTGCATTTCTAACAAACTCCCAGGTGATGCCAGTGCTGCTGGTCTATTTGCCAGATTTTAGAAGCAGGTCTCTGGGAATGGAAGAAATGAAAACATGCAGATGCAGTCAATAATTCCAGATTGGGACTCCCTGGTGATCTAGTGACTAAGACGCCACATGCCTGATGCAGGGGACCGGGGTTCGATCCTTAGTCAGGGAACTAGATACCACATGCCACAACCCTGCATGCTGCAACGAAGACCCAGCACAGCCAAATAAATGAATAAAAATAAATATTAAAACATAAAATAAGTCCAGATTAAGGGAAACGCTTCATGACAATCTCATTTCTTAAAACAAAAAATGAGGAGAAAATTTATAGATTTTCTCTAGAGATGTAACAACCAATAGCAATCCTTTATTTAGATCCTTAATCAGAGTATAAGCAAATGTTTTTTAGAGCAATTGTAGAAATGTGAACACTGGATATTTGCTATGGGGGAATTATTGCTGACTGGAGAGATGTAGTGACGATGATTACATTTTAAAAGGTGATTCTTCAAGAGGGTACATACTTTATGATTCCATTTTTATGACATTCTGAAAAAGGTAAAACTAAGGAATTAAATGGTGCTAGTGGTAAAGAACCTGCCTGCCAATGCAGGAGACATAAAAGACTCAGGTTTGAGCCCTATGTCAGGAAGATCCCCTGGAGGAGGACATGGCAACCCACTCCAGTATTCTTGCCTGGAGAACCCCATGGACAGAGGAGCCTGGGGGTCTACAGTCTATAGGGTTGCACAAAATCGGACATGACTGAAGTGACTTAGCACACACTCGTGGTTACTTGAGGATGGGAGATGGAGTTGGCTTCAAAAAGGCACAGGGAAATTTTGAGGAGTGATGCAACTATTCTGTTTCCTGGGTGTGTGGTTATCTGACTGAGTTTCTAAAACCTCAGAACTGTACCTAAGAAAGGAAAATTTTACTGCATGTATTAATAAGTTAGACCTTAATAAACCAGGCCAAAATAAAAAATAAACCCCCCAAAAGGGACATGATCATTTAGAGATACATACTGAAATATTTACAGGTAAAACATTTCTGAGATTTGCTTTGAGATTTGGGGGAAGGGTGTTGGTTTGGTCGTATAGATGGAACAACATTGGCTTTAAATGGCTTATTGTTGAACCTGAGTGGTTGAACCTAGGTGGTAGACCAGTAAAACTAGTCTCTCTACTTTCGATGTGTTTAAAATTTACCATAGTGAAGAGTTAAAAAATTAAAGCAGCACAAGTCTCCATTAAACAGGATGTCTCCATAAGCACCCATATATCCCAGAGCACCAGAAAGGCAGGTTGGGGAGCAAGTTCTGGGGGCTCCATCTTCACTGGGAGATACCCTGAAAGTAGCAGTTCCGGTCCAACCCATGGTTGTTACCTTCTCTTTCATCCTAAAGGACACAGGCCAGGCAGGGAAGTTATTCTCACCTGAGGAAGTGAATGGCAAATGGCCTGAAGGGCACCTCCCCACCGCCAGGCCTCTGAGAAGGTCCTTTCACCAAAGGAGGCTTTGATAAACAAACTTAGGATCAGCAGCCAGGGTGGGGTCCAGGTGGAGCTGTGGCCGAAGACTCCTTGGAACCAGTAGGCTCGAAAGGTCAGGGCCTGGTCAGTACCACGCCTCACAGTCCAGGGGCCCTTGGGGCTGGGCTCTGAGGCTACTGAGATGGGTCGGGAGGGGTCTCTGGCACGTCAGAGAGCTCACACCTGCTCACCGTGGCCTATACATTTCATGCTGCGTTCACTCTGCCTTATCTTCGGCCTTTCGAACACCAGGAAACACCTTGAGGAAATGGAGGTGGGAGGAGACCAGGTTAGGGTACAATGTGAGCAAAGGGTAGACGAAATTTATTCCCTGGAAAAAAAAAAGGTACACGATTGGGCAGGAACTTGAAGAAGAGGAGTTATGGGATGGTCTTCTAGTAGAGGAGGGCCTTGAGCAAATTGTAATGCCCAAATAGAAAAAGAGATTGAAAATGTAAAAGAAATGAAGGAGATGGAAAGAAGTGAAATATAATATTTGCGTGGAGAGAAGGGACAGCATGGAGTAGACACGTATTGTTTTGTTCCAGAATCCTCTCCTTTTCTGGGACCTTCTGCCCCCGCTTCCTTCTCCTGCCCACCTCCCACCTTCCACTGCCCCCACCTCCATTCAGATGGCACCGTAGGAACAGCCGTGGTAACACACCGTGACCCAACTCCATGGCTAGAGTTCATTGACCTGGCTCAGGCTGACTAATCAGAATGCACCCATCGGAATCTGGAAGCAGAACTGAGCTCTTCCAGTTTCATCTAGTTGTCTAATGGAATGGAGATTTGAACTGAGGCACTATTGGTAACTTGTTCCAATGGATGGAGACGTAGGCAGAACCCAGCAGAAGAGAATAGACAAGAGACAGTCCCGGTGGAAAAGAAGTCCCTGGTTTGAGCTCGGCTCAGAGACCTAGCCACATAGAAATGTTCCGAAGATAAACTGGAACCCTCATAGTAAAGCCACATTTTTGCTTCAGCTAGTTTGGATAGGATTTCTGTGACTTAAAACCAAGTGTCCTAACAGAACTCTATGCAAAGAAAGAGGGGAATATGGCAGATATATATAAACACCTGGACACATTTGGAGGGTGAGAGAAGATTGAAGCAATTCATTGTTGTTTAATCACTAAGTCGTGTCCAACTCTCTGTGATCCCATTGAGTGCCCCCGACCAGGCTCGTCTGTCCAAAGGATTTCCCAGGCAAGAATACTGGAGCGATTTGCCATTTCCTTCTCCAGGCAATCGTCCCCACCCAGGCATCAAACCAGTGTCTCCTAGAGCTTCTGCATTGGCAGGTGGATTCTTTACCACTGAGCCACCTGGGAAGCCCCAAAGCAATTCATACCTCTGCAAGAAATGGGAAGAAACAGTGTCTACTGAAAAAGAGAGCTACAGGTCAGAGGTCAGGGGCTTTAAAGTGAAGAAGATTGGGGCCGAGAAGATCGCATTTTTTTAAATTAAATTCTCTAATCATTATAATAGTTGGAGGCAAGAGTGTAAAATTTAGCATCTTCTGTAGATAGAGACAGTCAGTACCAGGAAGGTTACAAACTAGACACCAAGAAGAGCCACAGATTTTTCTTCTTTCTCATTAGCTGTGCAGCCTGGGGAACAAATGGGAAGTTAGAGGACACTTGACCCTCCTGTGAAGTGTGAAAATGTAAAGAAATTTAATCCTAGAAATAGCTGACAATTCCCAAAGTGAGTTGGACCCACCACAAGGGCTGGGATTTCTCTCCGTATGAAGACATTACTAATGTATTTTAGGGTGTGCATTTTGAAGAAATCTTTGACAGGATTTGTAGTGATAATTTCAGAGAATAATTCGGGTATCTCCTTGCAGATACCAACTAACTACAAACAACTCATGAATTTTCATCATGGCGACCTTCCGGGCCAATCAGTGAGGAAAATGAAGTAGATGCCATGAGACCCAGGCTGTGTCTGAGCCACAGCTCTCCCCATCTTCTCTCTCTGGTGCTTCTAGGGTCTGTGTGGTTTCCTACTTGATGACGACTTCGAGTAGATTAAATCCCACTCTCAACTTCCACCCATGGAAGAAACTGCTGGAACCTCAGTGCCAATTTTTGATGAAACTGCTGTGTGAATTTGTTGAGTCCAGAAGGTGTGTTCTCAGTAACGCCTTCTCAAGGCTATCCACCAACTGAGTTAATCCACAACATCTCAGCACCAAGTTCAGCTTTCCATCTCCTCCTCGTAGCAAGATCAGCCTAGGTTGGAACCCTTGGGGAAAGCCTCCCCAAACAAAGCACCACAGTTTAGGAGGAGGGGAAAGGAAACATTTCTGGAAATGACCGTGACAGGAGCAGAGTTAGAGGGATGTAGATGATGACAGGTGATAACGTGGTGCTGGGGATGGTGAGGACAACTAACACTCATTGAGAGTCTACCATACTCACTCCCAGAAGTGTTTACCTTTTTTCAACTGTAGGTTCATTTATCCCTGACACAAACTCTATAAAGAAGGTATTACCACCATTTTAAAGATGGTGAAATTTTAAAAAAACATAAAAAAAATAAAGATGGTAAAATTAAGGAATGGAGAGAATGAAATGAATAAGTTGTCCAAGGCCACATAGCTATTAAAGAATGAAAATAGGTGGAACAAAAAGAAGATTGCCCTGATATAGTGACTTAATCTGATAAAAAAAAAAGATTTATTCTAGTATTTTTCTTGTCATCCCCTTTCCTTCCTGCCCACCACCAAATATTTCATCAACACATGCCAGAGCTTGTTTTCCACAAACCTGCAAAAACATCCCTTAGCCCCTGACCCAAGGGGTGAGAAATCCATTGTAATTCTTGCTTCTGCATATACTTAGAGAAATACTGGCAAGAAGTTTTCCTAACTTCATTTCTTTGATTTAGCTTCCTTTCCCAAACATAGCATGGCATGTTTTAAAATTAGTTTCTTCCTACAAGTAGAAATTGCCCTTGAAATTTAAAGTTTTTTTATGTCTAAATGATTGTTATTTC